ATAGTTTTGTATGCCCGTGCAATCACACTCTGGAACACTATACACTGGTGGAAAAGGAATGAACTACAGTTACGTATACCAACCCAAGAGAATCTCATAAATAGAATATTGAATGTGAAATAAAATAAAGCTGTTATAGTGTATTTGAGTGAAGTGTAAAAGCACGCAATACTATGATGCACAGAACATTTTCCAGATGAGAAAACTGAGGCCTAGAGAGCTAAAGTGCGTTACCCAGTGGCATATGGTAGTCATATGTTAAAAAGTTCACTATGGGACAGGAATTACCACCTACAACTTCAAGGTGAAGGAGAGGAGGCTGACTGAGGTCTCAGGTCACAGATAGTAATTGCCTGAGGTGGGACTGAGTGTGGGTTTCTTCTAGTTCCAAAACCTGTGCTCTTCCACCAACACCCTGTCACATCCACGAAGCATGCGAATGTAAGTGACAACACACATACACACACACACCCTAGCCTTGAACTTGAACCAGACGGAACTGGGGAAAACTACACATTGTGAAGTCAAATCTTCCATCCCATCATCGGTATTATTTTTAACTGAACCCTGAACTGAAAGGAACAGTGCTCCCATTGAAGCTGAACTTGCATATTTTTGCAAGCTGTCGAATAGAATATTCAAATATTCTTGAGACAGAGACAAGCATATGATGAATTCTATCCTAATCTCTTCACTCTGTGTATTTTGATTTGTTGAAGGTCACATGGATGGACAAAGCCCAGAGGTTCTTATTCTCTATAAAGCAGATGTAGGTGAATTTTTCTACGCTTCATTTGCCCTTCTCCCCTCTTCCTTGTTGTGAGCAGGGACTTGTCTGCCAGCAATGTCTGCCATGTCCCTTACCTTCTTTCACAGAACACACCCTTGTCCCTGTTGGCTGAATGAAGGAGAGAGAGAACTGGACCCCCTGAGCTGTGTATTTCTCACTCAAGTTCAGCAACAGCCTGAACTTGATTCCTTGGTGTGGGGGGGGGTCTCTCTGCTCAGGGCAGAGAAATTGAGACTTTTCACAGAGGCCAGTGATCCTCAGTACTCTTAGAAGCCTGGCTGGAAAGTCTCAGGAGGCAGGTGGCCTTTGTCTGATCTGGACCCAGCCAGCACAGTTTGTGACCCTCTCCTACAGCAAGAAGGGGGACTCTGAGAAGACTTGGGGGCCTCTGGGGAGACATTAATCTTTCCAGAATTTTATCATTTTTTCCATAACAGTATCCTCCCTGTAAGGTGGAAAGTCCCAGCTGGTGGCTGAGGACTCTTAATGTCCTTTTGTTCTCTGCCCTGGCCACTACCCAGGCAGCAGAGTGCAAGGCAAAGACTCCTCCCCTTTGATGCCAGTCTGCTCTGGGCTTGCTGTGCCTACAAACGGTGCCATATAGATGAGCCCTTAACACTGTGGGCCTAGACTCCCCAGCTATTTGCTGACTGTGTAGCCTTTGCAGGGTACTGAACCTCTCTGGGCTATAATTTCTCCCCCTGAAAGCTGGCATGGTGTTCATATCACCAGTGTTTGGAATTTAATAAATTATGAAAAGCACATGGTTCTTACAACTGTTTGTTGTTATTATTGCATGACCTTGGATTTGGACAAATCATCTCCTCTCTCCAGTTTTCAGAACCTGCCTGCCTCTTGACAATGGATATGAGGTGAACTGACTATTCTTTCTTGCTGTGTGGCCTTGGACCAATCAACATGCTCAACCATTAAATGGTATCTGATAAATTGGGGTGATGATGGGATGAGAACACATGCATCAAACACACAGCATGGGGAGAACACAAACTCATAGAAAGTGAAAACAAAGTTGGCCACCTTTGCTTGTTTGTTTTTATAGATGGGAAGGAACTTTTTAAACCATAGCGGGCTGGGCCCTGGTTAGAGCATCACTGTTTTCTCACATGCTTTCCCACCCATGACTTCTTCACACGAACCTGCAATAGGAGAGGTAGGGACTGGACAGGCCATTTTTCAGGTCGGTGAATTAATCCATTCAACAAATATTTGTAGAACACCTGTACAAGCTCTGCACTGCTGCAGTGCAGGACAAAGCAGCACTTTGCCATCAGAGCTGTCATTCCTGTGGGGAGACAGACAACAGACATGGGGGCATATAAATATAGAACCCAAGTTCAGATTCAATCCCTTTATTTTGCAGATGGGGAAACTGAGGCCAGAGAGGGAAAGAGATTTTCCTAGAATGTCAGTGTCATTTCAGGAAATGTCATAGGCAAAGCCTCCCCAGCAGGTCTTCACAGTCTTAGGCTCTCTTACCCTTAACAAATCCTCGGGTCCCTGAGGTCTTAAGACCTAACAGTGGGAGCCAACACTGATTGCTCTTCTTAGGCACAATAATTATTTAAACCACTTTATGCTATTTTTGAGGTATTGGGGTTTGAACTCTGGCCTCACACTTACTAGGCATGTGCTCTTTGACTTGAACTACTCCTTTTTTGTGCCCTTGCCTTCTCTGGCATCAGTTTCCCCATCTTTGAATCGAAGGGGATTGGTTATCATCACTGCCCTTCTGATCACCCCTTCTCAGTTTGTAACTGCATTATTGACCTCTTTGTTTCTAGTCTGCTTCCCCACAAGGCTGGGGTGAGCTCCAAGGAGCAGCAAGTATCCTCCTCTGTTCATCCTATCTCCCTGGAGCCTGGCTCTGTGTCCTGCACTTAGCAGACCCTCAATCAATATTTGTGGATTAAAAAAAGCAGAGAATCAGTGAAAGTCCTCAGATTTCTGCAGCAGTTCCTGAACCCCCTCCAGCCCCACTTCTTTCTCAGCCTCCACCTCACACCCTCCCCTCTACCCTCCCTCTCACCTCCCAGGGCTGACTTGGGCCCTCCATCCGGCCTGGCCTGCATTTTTCCGGGTTTGATATCATTTTTTCCACTCTCCCGGCTGCTGCCGGCTGCCTCTGCCAACTTTCCACAGCTATAGCACCCCCCCCCCCGCCCCGGCCGCCCCAACTGAAGCCAGAGACAGCTCAGGGTGGAGGAGACCCTCCTCCCCATCCCTTCCTTGGCTGGGGTTGGGATGGGGGAATGAGTGCACCCTGCTGGATAGTGAGACTGGGAGGGGGCCTTGCTGGAGGATGGGTCTCCCTTGCTCTTGCTGAGGCCTTTCCCCATGCTGGTCTCCTGCAGCCAGGACATGGTGGCCCTTGTGCAGGGCTGAGGCAGCTGGGGTGTCAGGCGTCAGAGACACCATGGACCAAACCGTTTGCATCTGTTTTTTTTTTTTCCTCAAAGTAGTGATTCTTCCTCTCCCCTCCGAACCCCCTGCATTCTGCACCCTGCACTGGAAACTTCTGACCTAACCCCCTACACCCAGCCCTGTCCCCAGCCAGACTGGACGCACCACTACCTCCTTCCTCTCTCATAGCCAAAGGGAGGTCAGAGGAGGAGTCTGGCCCTGAGGCCTAGAGCTGCTGGCTGAGGGACCCCAGATCGCTCACTTCACTCCTCTGGCTTCAGTTTGCACACTGAAAAAATGAGTGGGTGGGACTAAACTGGGGTCTTCCATGGGGGTTAATGGATTGTGTTCATGCCCCATACTCCCTTCAGTTATGTGCAACAATGTCTTTGAAAGTCTGTGGCCCCTTGTCCTCACCATAGTTTTAACTTTAAAAAATTCTTTTCTCTTTTTGCATTGCTGAGTTGGAACCCAAGGGCTTCACATGTTAAAAAGGTACTCTGGACTATACCCGCAGCCCGTCATGCTCTTTTTTGGACACAGGAGTCTCTCTTTGTAGCCCCATGTAGAAATCATGATCCTCCTGCCTCATCCTCCTGAGTGCTGAGATTATAGGAGTACACCACCATTCTTGGCTTTTCCCTGTTTTTTTTTTTTTTTTCTTCGTGGTATTGGGGAGTGAATAAGTGCCATCTGCACCCTGCTGGCTGGTGAGGCTGGGACTCTACCACTTGAGCCACACTCCCAGCCCTTTTTTGCTTTAGTTTGTTTTTGATTGGGTCAAATACTTCTGCCCTGGCTGTTTCCTGATCAAGATCCTCCTATCTCTGCTTCTGAGTAGCGGTGTACCATCACCACCTGCCCCTGTCAACTAAAGAGGACTGTGGTCAGGTGCTGGTGGCTCACGCCTGTTAATTCTAGCTACTTAGGAGGCAGAGATCAGGAGGATCCCGGTTCGAAGCCAGCCCAGGCAAATAGTCCGAGCTGGTGGAGTGGTTCAAGGTGTAGGTCCTGAGTTCAAGCTCCATACCACAAAATTCTAGTGGGCAGATTCTAGTGGGCTAGAAATTCATCAACTTCACTTACAGCAGCTGTATGATTGTTAGCCTCAACTTCCCAATTAGTTAAAGGAGGTTAAAGGTAGCGCTCTCCTCCCAGATGTTTGAAGATTAATAATGTGACAACTTAGCACTCAGTGGGCTTCCACAAACACCAGCTATTATTTTGCCAGGATGTGCGCTCCTTGCAGCTATTTTGTGAATCTCTAATCTAAAAAATGAATTAAAGAGAAAATAGCAGATCACATGTAACTGTGGTTGGTTGTGATCCAATGTGCTCCTTTCAAAGACCTGGGGCAGGGACTGTATCTTGCCAATTGGGAGAAGAACCTGAGTGCACAGTTGGTCCACTGACTCTGTTGATTAGCTGGGACACCCAGGCTAGCAGGCTAAAGCAGCGGCCAGTCAGTGTGGATGGGACCACAGGAGGAAGGGCCCAAGGAGAGGTCTGGGCATTCAGACAGGACATCCTGGACTGGTTTATTGTGTGTGTGTGGGCTTCTGTGGGTTGGCCAGAGCCCAGGGACAAGGAAGATTTTTACAAAAAGACACCCACCACGTAAACACCCTACTTTGTGTCCTCTTGGTACTATAGTCTGCCCACCAGTTTCCTGGGGCGGAGGGGTCCTTGAGGCTCTGGACGATGCTCTGGTCACGCTGCAACGACGGGCAGGCAGGTGCACCATCTGACCCAGCAAATGTGCCTTTGGCGTCGGTGGAGCCTAGAATGTACCCCAGTGTCCCGCCACCCCCAGAGCACAGCCTCAGAGCACAGCCAGGTTGTGGCAGGACTTGGAGCGGGCCTTGAGCGCGCGGCGGCGGGCGCTGCGGGCTGTCAGGCGCGCCAGGAAGCGACGGGCGCGCTGGCCCAGGCTGGCCCGCCGGTGCGGGGTCGCGGGCTCGGGGGCTGCGCTGTCCCGGCGGCGCAGGCGCAGTTGGCGCACCACGCCCTCGAAGAGCTCGGCCACGTTGTGCTGCAGAGTGGCTGACGTCTCGATGAACTTGCAATCGAACACCACAGCGCAGGCGCGGCCCTCTGAGGGGGCGGAGCCATGGCAGGAAGGCGGAGACAAAGATAGGGAAGAGGTGCGTTCAGTCTCACCTGGAAGTAGCTTTCCCTGTGCCCTTACCCAGGTGCAGGTGTCAGAGCACTCGGGGTTAAACCACTAGGGCTTTGAGGTGGGTCACCGTCTAGTGATTGGTACTGCTTAGCAGAAAGGGCTGGGAAAGACAGGCTAGGACCAGGTAGTGACCAAGTTGAATGTCAGGTGAGAGGCCTAATCTTGCTAGGGGGCTAGCTCAAGGGTTAGAGCATTTGTCTAGCAAGTTCGATACCCTGGGTTCAATCCCCAGTTCCGGGGGTGAAGGGGTGGAGGTTGAGGGAGCTAATCTAGGCCAGGAGGAGCTGGTCAAAATGCAGATTACTTTCCCATCCCCGGGATTCTGTTTGGGATGGGTCTGTGTTTTAACAAAATCGTCTACAGATTATGTTGCTGTTTTTTGGGATGCATGTCCCCAGCATGCAGTTTTTTGGGATGCATACGGCCTTCCAGCTCCAGGATGTCACCGGGCTGGGAAGCAGGGGCCTGAGTCTAGTCCTCGGTGGCTGGTGACTCTTGAAACTGACTTTCCCTTTCTGGATCTCAGTTTCCATATTTTTTAGATTTTACTTTATGAATAGGGCCATTTTAAGATCTTTATGAGCCTCACCAGAAATATGAAACTTATTAAAATATTCCCCATACCCCTGTAAATATAATTTATATATAACTTTCAAAGTTTTGGTTTGTAGCTGCCACAATATTAAGTTTTTTAGACAATTAAAGCTTTGTGGAATTTGAATTTATAATTCCCTCACTGTATATTGAAACCAAGAATGGTCTTTCTTCAGTTCTCAAAGTTAAGCTCTTGAAAAGAGGCATTGGACCTACCATGTCTGGTTGCTAAAAGGCCTCTGATCAAGGGCATGGGAGCCAAGAAGTAACAAGGTCAGCTTTGGTTCTGGAAAACCCTGGTAGCTGGTGAGGACTGAGTGGGGCTAGGGTGTATAGGGATTGACCTCTGACAAAGTGGGAGATGCCAGGACAGGGAAGAGGCTGTGGGCATGGAGGGAAGGAATTGGGGGTCTGGTTTGGGGTGAAAGAGGAGCAAGGATGGTTCCAGGCTCAGGCAGGTAGCTGCAGGATGGGGTGGGTTGTCGGGGTATGGTGGGGGTAGACAATCTCTGAGGCCAAGAGCTCTGGAGGAGGGGCAGTGGGGTCGAGGGACAGAGAAGGGCAGGGCAGAGGGCTCACCTTCCACAGAGACTTCCCGACAGCGCGCCAGGTCAGCCTTGTTGCCCACGAGGATGATGGGCACGTGGTCTGCGCGGTGTGTGCGCCGCAGCTGGATGCGGAGCTCCGATGCGCTCTCGAAGCTGCCCCGATCTGCGATGGAGTACACGATGACATAGGCGCTGCCCACCTGCAGGCAGGACTCCTGGTTCCAGCTTTCGTCCTGTGCGGGAGGAACCCCGGCCCATCCTCAGAGGGTGCCTAGGCCCTGGCTGAGAAAGATGCTGCGTTGGCGTAGTTGGGATAGGGCTGAGGTTGTACTTTGGACAGGTTTGGGGGACAAAATCTGTCATAATTCCCTGTATCATCTTGGGAAAGCCACTGATCGTCTCTGAACCTCAGTTTGTCTGCTTGAAAAATTAGCGGACACTACTTTGGTTCATTCTCTCATTCACTGATTACTTCTGTAGCCTGGCACTGAAGGCAAAGGCTGACTTAGCTCCCTTTACTGCTAAGGAGGCTTCTGGCTTTGACTGTTCAACAATTTTTTCTGGTTTCGGAGGGAGTTTGGCCTTGTCAGACAGTTCTTTAGGCCTTCTGCAATCCAGAGTTAAAAGAAAAAGGGAGCTGGGTGCTGGTGGCTCATGCTTGTAATCCTAGCTACTTGGGAGGCTGAGATTGGGAAGCGTATGGTTCAAAGCCAGCCTGGACAAATAGTTCTTGAGATCCCATATCCAAAATAAGTACAGCAAAAATGGACTGGAAGCGTGGCCCAAGTGGTAGAGTTCCTGCTTTGCAAGCTTGAAGCCCTAAGTTCAAACCCTAGTCCCACCAAAAAAAAAAAAGAAAAAGGGAAGAGAGAGATCTGAGGACAGGAGGTTGACTTCAGGGAGGTGTGTTTTCAGGACAGTTTTAAAGAATGAGGTGAAGGAGCAACTGTGGAGTGTAAGGTCAGAAGGAAATGGGTGTGGCAAGGGGCACTTTTAAGAAGTGGAGTTCTGAACCTGGCATGGTTGCTTACATCTATAATCCAAGCTACTCAGGAGACAGACATCAGGAGGATCCAGTTTGATGCCAGTCTAGGCAAAAAGTTAGTGAGGTCCCAACTCAACACAACAAGTTGGGTGTGGTGCACACTTGTAATCCCAGTTACTCAGGAGGCATAGATGGGGGATCGAAGTCAGAGGCCAACTTGGTAAAAAAGCATAAGACCCCATCTGAAAAATAACTAAGGTAAAAAAAGCCTGGAAGTATGGCTCAAGTTGTAGAGTGCTTGCTTAGAAAGTGCAAGGCCTTGAGTTCAAACCCTAGCACAACCAGAAAAAGAAAGAAAGGGAGGAGAGAAGGAAGGAGGGAGGGAAGGAAGAAGGAAGGAGGAGAGAAAGAGCAGCCCTTTAAGTTGTTTGAGGAAGGAGAGAACTGGAATGATGTTGATAATCCGTCAGGGACAGCACTCTAGACCACGGGGGCAGTAATATTTGTAAGTGTTTAATCAGACATAGCTCCTGCTCTTTAAACTCATGGTCTGGAAGGGAGGCTATGGGGCTATGGAAACTATGGGAATGGAGAGTTACAGTGCCCTGTGGGGAGTACCATTAGGAGACGCACATGCAAGTGGGATTCAGTAGAACTCAGCCTGGCAGAGTGTGGGAGGGGTTCCCAGGGGCCCAGTGAGTGGGGTGTGAAAGGTGTGCAAGAGAGAATAGATTTGAGACAAAGGGAACAGTTGATGCTAAGGCTAGAGTGCAGAAGGCTGAGTGTGGTAGAAGCTCCAGGTGCAAAGGGGGAAGAAGCCAGAAAATATTTCTGATGACCAAATAATATAGATGAATAGGAAGTATCAGATCTGTGGTCAACATCATTGTTGATTGGAATAAATCCCAAATAGTCATATTGATCATTCCCCAGGCTAAATAGCCTCAGGGTGGAGTCAGTGGATTCTCAACCTTGACTATGGACAGATTTCTCCTCCTTCTGGGTCTCAGTTTCCCCATCTATAGAACAGGCAGGGGTCTTAACCATTTATTCATTGTACAAATAGTTACAGAGCACTTTTTCTACACGTCAGGACCACAGAAGTCAAATGGCACATGGATTGGTGGCCATGGAAGTGTGATTAAAAGTACAGGTTCCATAACCCCACTTTTAGATATCCATATTCATTAGGTCTTGGGAGAGACTTGAGAATTTGATTTTTTCATTCTCTCCAGGTGACTCTGATGGTCAGCCAAGCTAGGACACTACTGGATGAGCCAAAGGCGCACCTGCTTCTGTCAGATTCTGCCTCTCTGGCATCAGACTATCATATAGTCCATGGATGGAGAGCACAGATGCTTTTTCCAGTAAGGCTGCTACTGCTGGACCCCCTGGGAACTCCCTCCACAGTCACCAGTCAGGAAAACTTGTTCACTTTCCTCATTTTACTGGTAGGAATGCCAAAGGTCAGAGAAGAGACCTGACAGCCACACAGTAAGCTGTCAGAATTGCAGTTCCTGCTTCTGCTCTATACCTTTCCTCCCCTGTCTCAGAGTGGGATGATCACTCTTAACTTAGTGGACTCTGCCCCACAGAGCTCTCAATGACACCCAGAAAGTAGACCTTCCCTCACCAGCCTGCTAGCTCCATGAAGCTGGGACATGTCTGCCTGATTCACTGCTGGGTCTCTAGCATCCTGGCCCATGATGGATACTCAGAAGGTGACACTCTAAGGGGAGGTAGGAGGGATAATTGTAGTGAATAACAGTACAGTTCTGGGGTTTTGTAGATCTGGGTTTGAATCCTGCTTATTCCCTGAGAACTTTGGGCACATTAACTTCTCTGAACTTCAGTTTCTTTGTCAGTAGAATGGGAATCAGAGACTCATTACATAGGTTTTGTTTTGACTGAATGTCCTAATGGCCCCATAGCTCCTTAATTCTCATCTTTGGGCCTGTTTGAGGAACGGTTAGTCACCCAACACTGCAGTCTTAAGTCCCACACTATGCATGGGGCCTCTCTGAGTGTTAGGGGAGGGTCTACCCCTTAGAGAGGTTTTTGAGTCCTCTTCTTTTGCTTCTGGGTATTTTCTCAAAGTTCTACAATGAGTGGGTATTATTGTGTAGCAAGAGAAAACCCAAACAAGAAAATCATGACTGAAACACATCCCTGTGGGTTGTTCTCATCCTGCTCTGGAAGGGGGTAGGGAACAAGATACCTTTTTTTCACTAGCTACCTAATTATCATTAATAAGAAATACCACATTCTCCACTCCCATTTGGCACTTTTTTCATGCTACAAAATGGGCTCACCTCTGTAGAAGTGCATAAGAAAATTTAAAAAGCAGATGATGGTGGGGATGAGGGTATAGTATGCTGAACACGCATGAAGCCCTGGCTTCCATCCCCAGTCTTGAAAATAAACAATAACCAAAAAACAAATCAGCAGATGAGGAAAGCAGGAATGCTTGACCCATTTATCAGATGAGAAAACTGAAGCTCAGAGTAAGTCCATTGCACAAAGCTACCCAACAAGTAAGAAAAAGAAAGAGGAGGGTGATCAGTGTAGGCGTTTTGGTGCTCAGTTCAGTGTTCCTTCTTCTGCACAATGAGGTGGTTGTAAGGATGGGGAGGCCTGAAGGGGAAGAAGTATATCCTGGGATGGCTGCTGGGGGGTGGATCAGTGAGTGAGAAGAAGGGGCAGGGCTAGGAGGGTCTGTCTTTGGAAAGGCTGTAGGTTTTGGATAGGGCCTGCTGTGGATGGCTCCTGCCCTGAACCCTGTTCTGTATGTCCCAGGAAGCGACAGGATTCTGGTATTAGGCTCAGCATCCCTCTTCCCACCCCTGCTTGCAGTGCCATACCAGTTTCTCAGCCTCCCAGGTGTCCATGACCACCAGTGTGGTGTCCTCTCCATCCACTGTGAGGGTCCTCTCGTACACATCTACAACCAAGGGAGAGCGCATCTCAGGGAGGGATAGGCCCATGGAGGTGTGGAGCTCACTAGTCCCTTTTCTGGTCAGCACCCCCTCCTATTCTCCTTGGAGGTGCTCACCACACTTGTTTGATATCTGTCTTTCCTGAGAGGTCAAGAAGCCCTATAAGGAACCCATGTCTCTCCAGCTGCCAACTTAGTACCTGGCCCATGGTAGGTCCTGAGAAGGTTGGACTGGTTGATTGAGTGAGCGTGGGGTGTGGGGATAAGTTGGGCTGGGTCCCCAGCCCTGTTCTATTTGTGGCTTAATGTGTGCTTCAGGGGGATCATGCATGTACCCTCTCTGGGTCTCGGTCTCTCCATCTGCACCACATACAGTTGTACATAGGAGCCCTTCATATGGGTTCTCACTCCCAGTAGTGTCAAAGGTTGGAAAGGAGCCTGGACACATCATCCCTACCTTCCCTCTGATTTTAACCGCCCTCCCCGCTCACCCTGTGCTCTCCCAACCAGTTCTTCTGTCCTGTCTCTGTAGCCCATCCTCATGAGGTCCCTGGTTCTATGAGTGCACTACATTTCTGGGAAATAAAGCAAACTAGGGCCCAGAACTGGGGGTCAGGGAGTCTCCATTCGGGAAAGATCTTGATTTTGCTGTAGGTCAGGTGTCTATGGGACTGGGAGGTTCTGAGAGTCAGGGGAACTTGGGGCTGGAGTTTCTGAGTTGGATAGAGGTCTACTATTTCTTGACACTCACAGTTTCAGAATTGCTCCCCTTATGACAAGGAAATAAATTATACATTTCTCAACCAATTTCCCTCCCTAAACTGTTGTGCAGGCTGTGTGCTGCACAACTCTAGGCAAACTTCTGTATGCATGATGCTTCTTACAGTTGAAGAGTGCATGAGTTGTAAAACTGTTCTTGGCAGCCCTGTGCCCCTGGTGACAGGCCTTTCACTCCTTTGGTCACATCCCAGTCCACCCCATAGGGTCCCTACCTCCTAGCTGTTCGTGGAGGTCCCGCTCTTGCTTCCCCGCAAACAGGCTGGCCAGGCTGGTTTTTCCAACACCAGGATCTCCAAGCAGCACAACACGGTAGAGGGCCTCCCAAGAGCCTTCAGAGTCGCTGGATTCAGAGGACCAGCCATCTGGGACAGGGGAAGGTCTCCGGGTGGGAGGGTTAAGGGAGGCAGATTGGCCCAGCCGAGGATGCTGGGATTGAGTAGGGGGTACTGTGCACAGGTGGCCAGGCTGGTGGCCTCTGGATGATAGGGGTAGTGGAGTGCTGGCTCTTCGGCGTAGGGGGGTCTTTGCTTCCTGCTGGGTGTTTAGTGTCATCCTTGGTTGGAAGGGGCTTTGGTCCCTTCTTGCCCCTTCCTTCTTTTCTTTTCTTTCTTTCTTCCTAACTTCAAGAATGGGAAATGGGCAGTCAGCCAGTTTCTTTGTGCCCCTTCTTCTCTTGGGTCCTGATGAGCTGTTGAGATGGCTTCTTCCAGAATCCCCTTTTGTTCAAATGGGAGGAGGCACCTCAGCTCCTTGGGGTGGGGGCTGGCTTCAGGCCCAGGGTAAACCTGGGTCCACCTGGAAAGGGTGCATGCGTAGGCTGTGAATACACACAGATAATGTACATCCAGAGTCCACGTCTTATGCTCTGAGGATGACCTTCCCCTTAGGACACACAGGCAGAGGGGTAGGGGAGAGCTGGGATGTCCATGGGAAACTCCCCACCCCACCCCCACTATGTACACAGACCTGCCCTTCCCATTCGGCACACAAGACCCTTCTTAGGAAAGACATCTAAACTGCCCCATCCTGCCCTTCATTGGTTTCTTATGTTCTGGGTGGGCGATGCAGAGGATTAAGAGCGGGGGAGGGGGAAGGAGGGAATTTAGTCCCGCTGCTGGATCCCATGGGATCTGAGCTTGAAGAGGTAGAACAGGGTAGGCTGGTGCCCCACGAGGGCGAGGGGGCAACGGGGGATCCCTCCAGTTGTAACCTGAGTGCCCCGGTGCCATGGGAACCGCGTGTCCGGCCCGCCCCCTACGTGAAAAATTCAGGAGCCGCTGGTGCCACGGCCTCCAGCTGTTGTTGGGGGTTGGGGGGGTGGGAAGATGAGCTGCGAAGCGGCCAGGCCCCAGGTTTGGTGACAGAACAGGGTCCTGACAGGGGACGGGGAGCGTAGGTTACAGGGCCCTGGAATGCAAGTGTCATTCCCGGAGTCTGGATCCGAGCATTCCCAGCCTGGGGTCCTGGGTGTGAGTCCCAGATCCTGCGACCGGGGCTTTCCTGTCCGAGGCTACCCAACCCTCTGTACCCCAGGTTTGAAGCCCCTCAGCCCCGGGACGCGGTTTTGAGTCCCCCCCAGTCCCCGCTGGCACTGCAAAGCCCCATGCAGGCGCCCGGCGAACTCCGCTCCAACTTGAGCAAGTTGGCGGCGGGTTACGCGGAACTTTACCTCGCGTGGGGAGGCACGGTCCCCACCGCCCCAGCTGCTGGGTCCTGCAGGCTGTACCACTGCCGGCCACCGCGCGCAGCCCCCAGGCGGGTCCCGCCCAGTCGCGGCCGAAGGAGGAGCGCGACCCCGCCCCGTCCAGCCCCGCCCCATTAGGGCAGCCCCGGGTTCCCCGCCCCAAGGCCTGGCGGCTCCGAGGACCCGCCATCTCCAGTCCTAGGCGGGAGGTGGGAGTGGCAGTGTTGGGGTGCGGGAAGAAAGACAGGAAGGATGGGGATTCTGGACTCCTGGGTCTGGATGGCCCTCTGCGTCCGCCTCTGTCTTCTCCACCAGTGGGGCGCACCAACTTCAGCTCTCACAAAAGCCACTCTGCGAGCTCGGTCAGCGTTCGGATTCCCATGTCCCATCTTCCAAGAGGGACGATTGCACAGTACTGCGTTTTAAGCACGTGCGCCAAGTGATCCTGAGGGCAGATAGCTAACAGAGCGCACTTTGAGAACTCGGCGCTGGGTGGAGGATTGAGTTTGGGGAGTGGCTTGGGGGAGGGGAGGGAAAGTCCAGGAAGTCTGCATGGAGGAGTTCCGATCATCTCATTTTGTGTCATCCATCCATCCATCCATCCATTCATCCACTCACTCCTCCGCTCATGATTAGGATTCAGGTCAGTCTGCCTTTCACCCCAAGTCTCCCCAGGGAAATAAGAGCGGGAGTTCTACCAAGTTCTTCCTTGGTAGAAGAGAAGTTGACTTAGGGCCTGGTGTCTTAGCTATTCATAGGGCCAGGATTCAGGCTTTTCGAGCAGGGAGCCTCCTATAACTACCCCCCCTCCACCTTTTCTTCAGTGTTGGGACTTGAACTCAGGGCCTGGACAGGTGCTCTATCCCAGCCTTTTTGTTGTATTTTTATTTTTGAGATAGGGTCTTGCTAACTTTGTGTGGCCTGGCTTTAAACCTCTTTCTTTCTCCCTCTTCCTTGGAGTAGCTGGGATTATAGCTATGTACCATCACACCTAGCTTCCCTTTTGTTCTTGAGGGGTGGGGGTGCATATGTTTGAGGCTGTGGAGACCAAGCTGTACCTGTGGGTGGGGATGCATTGTCATGGCTGAGGGGTTCAGGTGTCCGGCTTGAAACAGCTCTCATCACAGCCCAGTACAGTGGGTCAGCCCCCGCAGGTCTTGGGGTAGATGCTGAATCATCTGGCGTCTGGCTTCCTTCCTGACTTGACCCTCTAATCTTCCCTGTCCCACCTGCAGGATGGGATGTACTGGGCAGCACCCTTCACTGTCCAGAAGTGAGGTGACCTGTCTTCTAGTCCCAGTTCTGGAATTCAGTTGCTGTGTGACCCGGTGCAAGTCAACTGTCCTCTTTGGGGTTCAGTTTTTGTATGAAAAATTGTAAGCTGAACAGGTTACACTCTTGCTAAAAAAAAAAAAGAAAAAAACACACAAAAAAATCCCTTTTGGTTGTCTACAATGCATGCAGGGCTCATCGTGCTCTGTAGAGTCATTTCAGCCTCTTCTCCCAGTGAAACCTTGCTCCATCCATGCCCCACTCTTTCAGGAGAATTCTTTTCCTCTGCCTGGGATTCTCTTTCCCCACTCAGCTTCTGTGATGCAGACTAGATGCCTGTGGGCCAGACACTCATCTAAGCTATGGTCACCTGTTACCTTAGTGGCTCCCATTCTTCAGCAGGACCCACTCCATACAGCTTTTGATTCAATAGGTTTGGGATAGGGCTAGGGAATTTGCAGTTCTAACAAGTCCCAGGTGGGACCAGATGTTTGCTGGTCTGGGGAACACACTTTGGGAACCACCGTAGTTTTTCACTTAATGCTCTAAATAAGATAGGCACTTATTACTCTGCCCTTTTTAGAGTAGGTCTCAGTGCATGTTTGGTTGAATAGGTTGGTAGGTTCTGGTCCTATCTCTTAGTATTAGGAAGAGAAACTTCCATTTTTTAGTCTTGCAAAGGAGGCTTGTCATCATTTCACAGATGATAGCCTGGGTCTCAGAGAGGTTAAGTGTCTCGTCCAAGGTCTCACAGTGCTTTTGGGAAGATGCTGAGACAGAACTAGGTCTCTCTGAAGTCAAGGCTTTTCTTACTCTCTCAGCTGGGGAAGATGTCTATTTTCTTTCCTTTTCCTCTTTCTTTCTCTTCTCTCTCCCTTCTTTCCCTTATCCCCTCTCTCCCTTCTCCTTCCTTCTCCTCCTCCTTCTTCTTTTCTCTCTCTCTCTCTCTCTCTCTCTCTCTCTCTCTCTCTCACATGCTGGGAATCACACAGAATAGACAAGCACACAATGCCACTTTTTGCCCCAAGCTTCAGAGCTCAGCAGCGTCTGGAACATGTGGCTGACCAGTTTTCACATAGCTGGAAGCAGCCTTGGGACCACACACCCTTATCCTCCTACGTAAGTCTGCTGCCCACAGCCCTGCCTTCATCTGCAGCCTCATAAAGGATGGGCAGCAGGTGGCAGGACTCCTCTCCTTGAGGTCTTCCCTGACGCATCCCCAGGAGCACTGTAGCCATGGCACAGCTATTTCTACTTATTGTGGCTCTAGTGGTCTTGGGTCATTTGCCCCCAGGTAACATCAGTGCGTGTGCGTGTGTGTGCATGTGCGTGCGTGTGTATAAAGATGAGGAATAGGCTCCCAGGTCTTGGAGGGCAGAGGGGTCTAGATCATCATTTAAATTCTGGCCCCACTGTTGGCTTTCTTGGCAGTTTAGAGCAAGTTGCTAACTCAGTCTGTCCCTCATTTTTTCTAATCTGTAAAATGGGATTTGTTCAATAAATATTCATTTAAGAATATGGGTCGTGAGTCAGGCACTGTTTTGACTGCTTGGGGTTTGACAGTGGAAGAAAGCAAGGACCTTGCTTTCATGGAGCTGACACTTTGGCTGGTGGAAATAGAAAGTAAACAGAAAAACAGCTTAGCATGTCTGGTTGTGCTAAGTGCTAAGTACAGTAAAGACAAGTAGGGGTTAGAGTAGCATGTGAGGTGGGGGATAGTCAAGGAAGGACTGTGGTAGGGCTTTTTTTTTTGTGGGACTGGGGTTTGAACTCAGGCTTCCCACTTGCAAAGCAGGCACTCTACCTCTTAAGCCACATCTCCAGTCCATTTTGCTCTGGTTATTTTGGAGATGGGAATCTCATGAACTATTTGCTGAGGCTGGCAGCGAACCATGATTCTCCTATCTCAGCCTCCCAAGTAGCTAGGATTACAGTTGTGAGCCGTTGGCATTTGGTTCTGATAGGGCTTTTAGAAACATTTTATTTTGGGACTATCTCAAGTATATGTGAATAGAGACTAACATAATTGACAAGGTAAGGTTGGTTATTATTTGATTTTTTATTTTTGTGGTATGGGATTGAACCCAGGGGCTTGAACATGCTAAGCAGTGTATCACGGAGTTACATCCACAAAGAGAGGGGGTTTTGTTTGCTTTTTGTGTTTTTGAGACAGGGTCTCAGTATGGGGCCCAAGCTGGCTCAGACTTGCAGTCTTTCTGCCTCAGCCTCCCCAGTGCTGGAATTACAGGCACACAGGTAAGGTGTTGGTACTGGGGTTTGAACTCAGGGCACTTGCAAGGCAGGCACTCTACCACTTGAGCCATGCCTTCAGCCCACACGGTGAGTTTCTAAAAAAATGTTTTTTATTATGGAAAAACTTAAACTTATGCAAAAATAGAGAATGATGTAACCATGTGAGTTTTAAAAAGAAACTTTTATTTTAGAAAGATTCAAACAGAAATAAAAACTAGTAGAAAGAACTCCTACGTACCCATCACCCCACCACAACACTAATGAACTTGAACCAGTCCTGTTTTGTTATTTGCTTCCTCCTCCTGGCCAGTGAATTACTTTGGAATCGATCATTTTGTAGAAAGGGGGGTCTACGTGCAGTTCGGAATGGAGTGAGGATCCAGAGAGATTGTTCCAGGCAGGAGGAACAGCCAACAGTGGAGGCCAGCGTGGCTGAAGTGGGGCTCACAAAGAAAGTGTGGGTGGCTGTCAAGGACACGAGGAGGGGACAGCAGGCCACAAGGAGAAAATAACTCTGGGTGTGGGTGACTGGAAAGTTCAAATGTGGTCATGGGATAAGAGTATTTATTATAGGAACTGCTTTGCCCGGGAGTTGGGGGCCTGGGTTCTGTTTCCGCTCACACCACTTGGTGGCTGAGTGTCTTGGGCAACCCCTTCCCCCTTTCCTCTGGAAAGCTGAGAATTTACTTGGAATGGACCCTGCCTGCTCCAGCTATCTGAGCTGCTGTTCTGATCACCTCAACTGGTTATTGAGAATTTTCTACGAGCCAGGGTCTGTGCTAAGATGATCTTGTGGTGGCCCTCTGAGAGAGGGACCTAAGGTCAAGGTCACTCACCCAGGGTGTGTGACAGAGCTGGGATTTGGGCCCTAGAGGTCTGAGCAGGGTTCATACCGTGCTTGAGCTGTTATGCTATGTACCCTCTTCAGCGTGTGGGTTCTTTGCCTTGTGGAGGTTTTGAGACCAGCACGTGCCATTCTAAGATTCTTTGCTTTCAAGGTGGAAGGATGGGCAGGTGGGCAGGGCTAGGAAAACCCGTGGAGGGGTCCAATGCAACATTGGAGGATTCTGTGGGATTTTTTTTTTTAGTCCAGGGGGATGCAGGGACACCTTTCCCCTCTGCCACTCACTGTGTCCTCATTCTTCTGCATTTCCTATTCTCTGCTGATTGAGGCCACATGTCTGGAGATGTCACTGCGACAGACAAGTGGTCCTAGTCTTTCCTCAGTTTCTAATTTCCTCTCGAATTGGCCATCATAGCACTCTGCTCATTTCTGTCATGGCACTTACCACAAACTCTATTTATTTACTGGGTTTTTAACTGCTTTCCCTTCCAGGTGGAAGCTCCAGAGGGCTTGGACCACGGCCATTTTTTTAAAATTGTGGTACCCAGTGCTCTATGTTTGTTGAATGAATAAATGAAAGAGAGGCTCCATCCATTCTGTGACCAAAGATCCTTGGAAGAGGTACAGGACCTGTTCCCCCAAGGTCCTTGCTTTTTCTGTGGTTGGAAATCACCTGGCTAAAACCTAGCATTAAACAGGTCCATATCTGTCAGTGCAATTTGTGTGTAATGGTTACAAGTGTGGACTCTGGGGCTGGATGGCTTGGATTCAAATCTTGTCCTGCTTCCTGATGGCTGTGTGACCTCCAGGAGATTATTAACCTCTGAGCCTCAGTTTCTTTACCTGCAGGGATTACAGTCAGACCAACTGTAGTCATATCGTGCTGTTATGAAAAGTGCTGAGGGTGTACCTGGTGTGTGGTTTCACCTAGACAAGAAATTAGTCTCTAAATAACCAGTAGGCTAACCGGTGACCCCTTGGGCTTACCTGTACTGAGATCTGTAACCTAAATTGTAACTAGTACTCTAACAACTGACCAGAGAGCTAACCTATAACTAGCGTGATTTAACCTGAGGTCTACCTTGTGACCAGTGTTCTAACCCAGGGACTGCTCTGGGATATGTGGTCTCTTCTGCACAGGGAGAACTGAATTCAAACGGTGCTGGAAGGGCCAAGGGGCCTGCCGGGCTTACTGCACGCGGCAGGAATCCTTCATGCACCTGTGCCCGGACGCGTCTCTCTGCTGCCTTGCCTACGCACTCAAGCCTCTGCGGCTGCCCAAGCCTGATTATGAGTAGCTGGCTCTGGGGCTTGCACCCTTGCTCCCCAATAAAACACATGCTGCCAGCTTCCCCTTGTTGCATGTGCTCTCTGTGCTCCCTCCCCATGGGAAGGGATAAGTTCTAGGGGTGTGGGAGGGATGGTTGGTGGAGGGAGGTCAGGTGCCAGGGAAAGTGGGCATCAATGACCACTGTAAATATCCTGGTCCTGACCATGGTACTTGCACAACTCCGGAAAAATTACTCAACCTCCCATAAGCCCCCTCAGTCTCTTCATGCATAAAATGGGGATGATTATAATATCAGGAGATTAGGGTTTTGTGGAAGGAATGCAGAATGCAACTCATACCAAGAGTTAATAATAACAATAATAAGGAGTTGATAATAATAAGAGTTACTAGAAACAGAGTCAGTAATAAGCTTCTAGCATTCAGGAGGAGATGGCACATTTGGTTTGAAAGATGTGTGGCCCCGTTGATAAGTTTTTTTTTTTTTTTTGTGGTGGTACTGGGATTTGAACTCAGGGCCTTATGCTTGCTAGGCAAGTGCTGTATCACTTGAGCCACACCTCTAGTCCCCAGATGGCCCTGTGAGAGTGAGGGGTTTTTCTGTTCCTTTTCCTCATATTCAGCATTTAATGAGTCTGCACAGGTAGACAAGACCATAGAATTCTTTGAGAGCAGTTTTCACAGAAGCAGGAATTGGGGATAGAGAAGAATCTGCCACTTCCAGGCCTGAGGATCTGGGGGACAGGAAGCCAGTGTGAAAACATGAGCAGCTGGGGAAGTAGATAAGCAGACCTGGGGTTTAATTCCTCTGTGTCTGTTGGGGTTGTTTGACTGAAAAAAACAAGGAGGACAACTTGCAGGGGCTTTTTTTTTTGATCTCACATCAAAAGAAGTGTGGGGGCTTGGGGATACCCAGCAGTGGAAAAAAAAAAGTCTGGACCTAGGCATTCAGAGCAGACATTTCTGTGATCTTTGTGAGTCACTGTGTGTTCACCAAGACTTCAGGTCTCCTGTCCTGTTTAGAGCAGAAAGAGCAGGAGGGCTGAAAGGGACTACCACACATTTTATCAAGAAAGCAAACACTTAGCCGACTTCTGCTTGCATCCGATGGGCCAGAACTGTCACTGGCCACTCCTCATGTAAGAAAGAAGTATTCTGCTTTTCCAGCCTCTGAGACCTGAGTTTGGGAGAAAAGGGAGCTGAGGAGACCCTTGTGTCTTCCCATCCTTTCCCTGGGTTTGAACCTGGGAAGGGGCAGGAGTGTTGGATAAATTGAGGGAATGCTAAGGGCAGAAGGGCTCTTGTCCACTCTCCTTTGAGACTTTCCAGAAGAGAGCTGTTCTGGGTGGTCTTGGCCTAGCCCAAGTAAGAGATCTTCTATGGCCTGGCTAAGAAAGAAGGGTGTTGACAGAATATTGCACAGCAGAAGGGGTGCAGATGTGGTGGCCTGAGTTGTCTTGGAGACCACTTGCTGTGCAGATCTGAGCCCTTAAGTTTCTGGTCCGAGGACCTGCTTATGTGGTCAGAGGCAGCTGGAGTGGAGGAGCAAGTCCCCGTGGATTTGGGACTAGCTTTTCACCAACAAGGATGGAAACATGGAATTATTTCACTCACAAAGTATACCCCTAACTCCCTCAGCTCCTTGGTGCTTTGCATGGTGAACTGAGAACCAGTCAATTGTTTGAAGGTACACTGTGGTGGGCTCAAGGTGGGAGGAGAGGTCTAGAACTCAGCAAAAGGATCAATAAGAACCCCAAGCTGGGCATGGTGGTGCACACCTGTAATCCCAGCACTTGGAGGCTGAGGCAGGAGGATGGTGAGTTCCAGGCCAGCCTGGGCTACAGGGTAAAACCCTGTCTCAGGAAAAAAAAAAAAAAGGAAAACTCTGAGAAGTCAACAGAGCCACATGAGCTGTTAAGAGGTGGCATTAGCCTGGTTTTGTCACTAGGCTGGTATCTGACTAGGAGTCAGAGCACATAGACTGGTCTTAGTGACAGGCACCAAGACTGTCACAGATGCCAGCTGGAAGCAGTCCAGACTCCATCCAGACTTCTTACCCTACCCCGCCATCATATTTGGGAGGGAGGGAGGAAGGAAGGGAGGCATCTGGAAAACTAAGCCATCATACCAGAGATCAAGCCTTTCTGAATTCAAGAAATGCAAGAGAATGTCTAAATTACTGGTTTTAAATTTGATTGAACTAAATTTAATTCTGCACTCTGACCATTCAGAGTGCAGTCTCAGAAAAGAATAAAGCAGCCAGGTTGGGATGCAGTGTGCATGGCTTTATGACCTTCTTGCAGTGATGGGAGGTGATGACTTCTGAGAGTGGGGTCAGACAGACTCAAGTCCATGTTCCAGTTCTGCTGCGAAAAGGTCACAGGCCCTGGGACCTGGAGCAAGTCACTTCCTGAGTCTGTCAGGTTCCTTCTCTGCAAAGTGGGTATCATGACAGCCTGTAATGCTGTGGCTGGGGGTCAGAGAAGATGGCCTGGCACTTTTTTTTTTGGTGGTACTGGAGTTTGAACTCAGGGCCTTGTGCTTGCTAGGCAGGCACTCTATCACTTGAGCCACGCCTCCAGCCCTTTTTGTGTTGATAATTTTTGAGAAATGGTCTCGGTTTATACCCAGGCCAGCTACTTCTGCTTCCTTGCATAGCTATATGACAGGAGTGCTCAGCCATTGATTGAGATGGTGTCTTGTGGGCTGGGATGTAGCTTGGTGGTACAGTGATTACCTAGCATGCCCAAGGCCCTGGGTTCGATCCCAGCACCAAAAAAGAAAAGACAAAAAGAGATGGTGTCTGGCAAACTTTTCTTTTTTTCAGCCTTGAACTGCAATTCTCCCAAACTCTGCTTCCCAAGTAGCTAGGTTATAGGTTTGTATTATCGCACCTGGGTTTTCTCAGTAAATGCAACCTACTACAATCATTGCTGCCCCCTTCTCCACAAAATTTCACTTACTTATGAAAAAGTTGCAGGAATAGTATAAATAATTCCCATAAGCCTTTAACCCAGCTTTCCCAAACATTAATGTTTTCTACTTTCACCTTCTCTCAATCTCCCTGTCTATGCAAATATGCTAAAAATAGGCTGGGTAAGGTGGCTGAAGCCTATAATCCCAGCTACCCTGGAGGTGGAGATCGAGAAGATGAGGGTTTGAAGCCAGCCTGGGTAAAAATGCTCGGGCAATCCCATCTCAAACCAGTAGTGGAGGTGATGGTGTTATCCCAGCTGGAGGGGAGTACACATAGGAGGATTGAGATCAGGCAGCCCAGGAATAAAGTGAGACCGTTTCAAAAGTAACTAAGAAAAAGGACTGGGGACATGGCTCAAGTGGTAGAGCAACTGCCTAGCAAGTGTGAGGCCCTGAGTTCAAACCCCAATACCTCACACACACACAAAAAATGTATACGCTAAAAATAGAGTATACATATTTTCTGAGCTGTTTAAAAGTAAACTGTACTTGGGCTGGACACATAGCTCAGTGGTAGAATGACTGCCTACCAGGTGCGATGCCCTGAGTTCCAGCCCCAGCACTGGAAGAAAAAAAAAAGTCAAATTGCACGCATACATCCCTTTATACCTGAATACTTTAGTGGGGTTTCCTAAAACCAAAGCTGCCCCAAGTTAGCCTTAAACTCTGATCCCCCTGCCCTGTTTCCTGACTGCTGGGATTACAGGTGTGCCCCACTGTGCCTAGCATACCAGCATAAAAGCATTTTATGACATAACCAATGCAACGTGATTATAAAGTCAGAACATTGTCTATTTTCAGAACTTACCCAAACGTCACCTGCCATCCCAAGGAAGTCCTTTATAGCAAAGAAAATCCCTAGATTTTCTCAGTTGTCAAGTTTCTTTGATCTGGAATATCTCAGGCTATCATGACATTGACATTTTTGAAACATCCAGGCCAGTTATTCTGTGGACTGGTCCTCAGTTTAAGTTTGTCTGTTGTTTCCTAATGATGACTGGATTCAGCTCATGTATTTTTGGCAGGAATGTTCCAGAACCGATGCTGTGTTTCTCTCAGTGGATCATGTCAGAGACAGCCAAGACAAACAGACCAGATAGCATTCTGAATCTTAAATCGCACACGTGTTTGGCTGTTTCTCATCCAGCGTGCAGTGTCCCTCATCTAATCCTACTTCCAACCTCCTTAGTGATGAGTACACATCCAACAAACCAGAGACAAGGCAATTCCAGGATGGAAGGTTCCTCAAAACACCTCACAGATGAGGCTCATCAGCCCAGAGAAGGAGAGAGGTTTGTCCAAGGACACACAACTCCCAAGGGGACAGAGCTAGTCAAGGTAGTATGATAGTCACATGTTGGTAGGACAAGCCTCTGTGAAGGGGCTGCTCCCTGACATGAGGTGGGCAAGGTTTTGGATTGCTGCTGAGAAGTTACTATTCCCGAGCACAGACACCACTCAGGGAGTCACTGAATGGCCGAGGTAGAGGTAATGTCAGTCACGTTTAGTAGTGACCAATCGCTTTGCCTGCAGCCTTTCACGTGATTCTCATGTCACGTGACATCAGTAGCTCTGCTTTTCTATGAAGTGAAGCCAGTTGCCCAGGTCAAACACCTAGAAAGTGGTGGAGCTGGGTGGGACTCTGCCCAGATCTGGCACCTGGATGATTTTGTCTCCCAGAGTTACTGCTATTGTACTTTTAAAATAGCACTTTAAGCCATTTGAGCTGGTGGCTCATGCCTGTAATCCTAACTACTTGGGAGAGCTGGAGGTTTGAGGTTCAAAGCCAGCCCAAGCCCAGGCAAATATTTCCTGAGACCCTATCTCCAAAATAACCAGAGTAAAAATGGACTGGCAAAGTGGCTCAAGTGGTAAGCACCTGCTTAGCAAGCATGAGGCCCTGAGTTCAAACCCCTGTACCACCACCAAAAAATAAAAGACTTTCGATATCATTAGTCATTAGGGAAGTGCAAATTAAAACCACAATGAAGCTGCTGGAGTGACTCAATTGGTAGAGTGCCTGCCTAGCAAGCA